GCAGGACTCGCTGCCCCGGGCCGTGCTTTGGGCAGGCTCGTCGGTCTGTCTGCGAGAGGCAGACCCACAGCCCGGCATGACCAGCCTCCCCGGAGCGGCGGGTTTTACTCGGCCCTTAGAAAACTCCATAGACATGATGCAAATCCAGCCCTTGCGTGAGAGCACGTCTTGTATTCTCTGAAATGCAGGACAGGACTGGATAGGCAGGATTTAACTGGACTTTCACCTTACCCTGGCGATCCGGGACAGGAAAACAACTGAGGCCGGCATCCAGCTACTCTGGGGGATGCCAGCAGCCCTCCCTGCTTCACAGCCCGGGTGCCTGGGGTCACCCCAGCAGCAGCCTCCTGCTCTGTCCTCGTAGGACCAGTGAAGCCACTGCTGGAGCATCCCAAGGAGGAGGAGAAGCGAAGTGCATCTTTGTTGACCTTTTTTCCCTGGCCGAGAGCACCTTGGTGGGCTGTCACACGGGGGATCCCCACCAAGGACAAACCAGAGGTGTCTGCAGCCAGGTCTCGTCCTCAGGATGCTCCTGGGCTTGTCCCCTGCTGCAAAGAGACCTCTTTGGGATGACTTTCACCTTGCCAAGAGGAAGGACTTTGCACACGGAGGTGGAGCGGCCTTGGGTGTACGTGAGGGTGGCTTTGTGTATCTCCCCACCCACAGCTGGGAAAGGTGTTTCTGGTCCCTGGGAAGGGACATCCCGTGATGGGACTGTGAGTGTTACCTCCTTGGACGAGCTGTCTACTTCCATTGGCTCCTGACGACCTGGAGTGAAGACTGGAAAGGTGTTTCCAGACTGAAGGAAGTGGCTGCAGAGCTGGGGGGGATAGGCAGGGGTGTCCACCAGCACTGTGTTCGGAGGAGGATGTTGTGCACGAGGGAGAGGGATGATGAGAGCATCCAGCCACAGCCGTGCCTTGTCCTGCCGAGCTGCGACGCAACCGAAAGAGCCCAGAGCCAAACTTCATGATGCGGGGAAAAGTTTGTTTATTTTCCTGCCTGTTATTCCTAGGAGCTGCTCAAGCATTTCCAGCTCCCCGCCGTAATTAGAGCCAAGACCAAGCCCAGGACACTTCCAGTGCCAGGAATTGGGGATTTAGAAATGCAAGTGGCTGCTGGGAGAGGGAAGAGCTGTGGCATGGCCTGGCTGCAGCCTTCTGCAGGCCCTTAACTCCTTGTGAGCCCTCAGATCTCGCTGCCCCACCGTGATCATCCCAGGGCTCTTGGAGATGCCAGCTTCGTCTCCTTTCACTCTTATTTCTAGTTCTTCGGGTTGTGACAGCTGATGCTTCCCCGCTGTCCTCCCCATCCAGCCAAACAAGAAATGGGATGTAATCTCTGGAAATTGCTTTGCTTTGAGAGCTGTGGTTTAGGGAAAACCCTCGAGTATCTCATTTGCAATCAGCAGTTCCCAGGACTGAGGACAACTGGCAGGGACAGGTTGGGATTCATCTTGTTGGAGCCTTTGGAGGTGCTCAAACAAGGTCTGTGCTGTTTGTTTGCTGGGTTTTTTCCCCGAAGGGAATCAAATTAACTGCTATAAAAGCATTCCCACACCTTTCCGTGGATGCCTTCTGCAGCTCTCCGCCATCCCATGTGCTGGCTTCGCTCTGGGTGTCCCTCTGTCCTCCCTGGGATGGGGCAAATGAGGGCTGAGAGTGTCTGGCAGCACTTTAGTTTTCTCCAAAAGACTCATAAAAACTATTTCTTTTTCCTTTCTGTGTCCTGTGCCCCACATTCCCAGCTGTTCACTGTTGGCGAATGAAACACCCCATGCACTGGGTCCCAGTTCCCTCCAGCCAGTTCATGTGTAGCTCTGCATCTCCTCTCCTGCCATCAGAGCGCCTCCTGGCCTTTCATTTCACCCTGTTCTGGTTTTTTTTGGTTTTTTTTTTTGGCTACAGAACAAAAAGAAGAGGCCTCTGCTGCAGAAAACCCCACCTCACGGGTGCCGCAGAGGAAACCAGGAGAGCGGAGCTCTGTCCTCTATTCTGCTGGACAGTTTTTCTTCGAGTACCTGGTGGTGGTGTCGCTGAAGAAGATGTCAGATGGACGTTACCAACCCCAGATAACCTACCAATTCCCAAAGGTATTTAGTCCCATGTTGCTGGGAAGATGAGTTTTCTGAATTTAGCGGAAAAGGGGATGTTGCTCCTTCCCCATCACTAGAGCAGGAGAACAGAAAAACACCCCATGCCTCGGCATCGCAGACCCAGACCCCAGGGCTTTGCCTGCCATGGGTTGGGGTTGCTGGGTCCCTCTGTCCCTCCCTGAGGTCCAAGCCCCAGGCTACAAACACAGGATCAAAATCTCAGGGTGCTCCCTGGTCTCCTCTCCCAAAAGCAGAGACCACGGCAGCAAACTCACGCCTTGGGGAGATGGCACAGGACAAGACCCCCTGTTTGCAGAGGGTCCCCTGGGTGCCTCTGCCTTGCTCCACTATCCATGGGGTAGAAGAGTCAAAACTTGGATTTTTTGGGAGATCTTATCCAGGGATGTGCAGACATCCTCTGCTTGGTCTGAGCTGGGGGTTGCTTTGGGATACACCCCATTCTGCCCCATCCCCTGGGGCTGTGGGCACCCTCCATCACCCTGACTCTTGGCATCACTTTGCTCCAGCGTGAGAACTTGCTGAAGGGCCAGAAGGAGGAGGAGGAACGTCTCCTGAAAGCCATCCCCCTCTTCTGCTTCCCCGACGGCAACAACTGGGCACCCGTCTCTGAGTTCACCAGGTACCTGCCACGCTGGGGCATCTTGGCCGTGGTTCCTCACCCTGTGTGTCATACCCCTGAGGGCTGTGGGCTGGCAGAGCTGTCCCGTCCCCATGCGTTGTCTCTCCTTGCAGCGAAACCTTTTCTTTCGTCCTGACCAACGTGGATGGCAGCAGGAAGATCGGCTACTGCAGGCGGCTGCTGGTGAGCATCCCAAGCTGGGTCGGTGGTGGCCGTGCCACCCCATCCCCGTGGTGGGACACGTTGCCTTCTGCCATGACCAAAGGACACCTCTTGGGGACGTGCCTTACAAAGCCACCTGCCCTGACAAGGATGATGACAAGCAGTAAGGGGGTGCTTGAAGTGCTTCCCTTGGAGCTTTCTCCAGCTGGGTGCAGCACAGAGGAAACAGCGTTTGCTGCAGACCAGGGCTGGCCTGAAATGCCAACAGGAGATGCGACAGTTGGGAGTTGCCGTTCCCTGTACCAGTGATCACTGCCTCCCCACTGATCTGCAGCTTCCCTGACTCCTTTCCCTTGGACGCAGCAGTCAGGACAGCTGCAAATCCCACTCGGGATGAGGATGGGGATGTGCATGTGCCCATCCAGGTGCCAAGGAGCTGGGTGCCCTCAGCCCTGTCCTCAAATTTGCTTCCAAGCAGTGACTGTCTTTCTCAACTCATGGATTTGGCCAGCTCAGGCGCTGCAAGGTGCAATGGAGGTCTTCCGTGGCAGTTCCTGCTTAATTAGGGACGGAAAGCCACGGGGCCGTATGCCACGGCTTGGTGACTTGCTGGATCCCACCACCACCTTTTCATTCCCTGGTGAACCTGCTCACTTCTACATCCAGGGCTGAGCTCTGGGTGTTTGAACTCTCTGGAGGGATGAAAGCACAGAGAGCAAACAGACCCAGGGTAATCCAGTTGGGAAAAAAGCCTGGGCACTCATCCTGCTGATCCCTGTTTCAGTAGGAGGCAAGATTAGCCCTGAGGATGGTGGGGCAGGAAGTCTTGAAGGACATGTGTCTGGAGGGGGAGGAAAGTTTGGGAACATGCCAGAGGGCTTTCCCCAAAATGATTAACAGCTTTGGCATCTGAGTTGCCTTCTTCGGGGCCTGGGCACCCTCTGATTTTACAGCATCAGCTACACCCTTGGCCTGAGACTCAGCCCTCAGCCCTGAAAACCCCTACTGAGTGGTTTGGCATCTTGGGG